GGATCGTATGTGTGTTTCAGAGACACAGTTCTCAATGAGATGATCTTATGGCACTCAGCTGGCCCAGACCTGCACTTTGTCTCGCAATGTTACACACATTTAGGCAATGAAATGAAAACTCGAACCCAAATTCAAGAAACACCAGTCTGAAAAACTAAAATCAAAACGTAAAAGAAAAGGTTCTTTATGTATAATTTGCCCTTTTTTGGGGGGATTTTTCCCCAATTTTCTCCCCAATTTAGTCGTCTCCAATTCCACCCGCTAGTTAGGACTCCCCCAATCACACGTTACTACCAACACTCGAAGGGCGAGGCTAGCACAGACTTCCTCCGCGACCTGCGAAGCGCCACCACATCTTTTCGAACTGCCGCTCACGCAACGTCATCGGACAGCCGAACGCGCTCGGAGGAAAGCGGCAATTGCCAGTTCTGTTGCGTCAGCTAACAGACGCCTGCGCTGACTAGCATCGCGCTGAGTGATGGGGGGAGAAGAGGGGGCCGTCCTACCCACCCAGAGAGAGCGAGGCCTGTGCTCTCTTGGACCCCCGGCCACGGATGACTGTAGCATCACCAGGGATCGAGCTCTTGATCTCCTGATGATGACAGGGCCAACGCTTAGACGGGTGAGCCCCTATATTTGCAGTTTAATTTATGCTTCTGAATTGATGTCAAAATGCTGATGACGCTTCAAAGGCGACAACTGCCATGTTGTGAGAGCACCAAGAGGACGCTGACGTGGCTTTGGAACTCCTGCCTAGCAGTCTGAAGCTTCTCCAGCAGGGGGTGCTGTTAGCATGCAAGTCTCTTTAATGTTCACTAGCAATAACAGCTATAAGCCTCAGCAAGTTTATAGATCCAACAAATGCATGTCTTTGCAGTGACAACTTCCAAAACAAGAGGTAAAAAAGTGTATTACCAAAGTTATTGACCCACTCAGTATTATTTATATGATCTCCATTACAGAATTTCCTCAAATCAGTTGGGAAACTAAGTTTTGGGCCATGTCATGCAGTAAACAGTACCAGTCTCTCTGCCAAAAGGACTGTAGAGACCATCATAGGCCACCATTCTGATCACTTTTGCCACTTTATTAGAAACCCCAGACTTACTGGTCTACAGTTAGAGACTGTAACCCAACTGTAGATGCACAGTTTGTGTTAGTCCAGTCTAGTTCTTCATCAGTCGTCCGTTTCTGACCACTCGCTCTTGGCTGATGGTTGGTGGACCTCATGTTTCTTCTGAAGGGTATTAGTAGTGAGTTTGTGCTGCAGTAACAGCCTCTACTCTTCTGGGTTGGCTTTACGCTGAGTGGAACATCGCTGTGAGGATTTGATTGAGCATTAGTGAGGTCAGGTACTGACTGGATGGTCAGTTCTGGATCTCCAGCTCATCCCAAAAGTACTGAATGGAGCTCCTTCACTCCAGAGCAGTTCTACTGCTCCACAGCCCAATGCTGGGGGGCTTTACACCCCTCTAGCCCACGCTTGCCATTGGACATGGTGACTTTAGGCTCATGTGCAGCTGCTCCAGATTGTCCTGTTCTATTGTCAATGCTTTTCTATGGAGATTATACAAGAACACCATCAACGGTTAAGCCTTATTAGAATTAGAGGGTCTGTCTCAAAACCTTTGGGTACTTTATTTGGTCAGTAGTCATCCGTTAGCAGTCCCTTACCACCGTCCAGTAATTACACACCTATATAGTGGATCTATATGGTAGATGTGCCTATTAAACAGGTATTAACCTCACACTCGACACGCAATATAAACTCTTAGTGTTCAGAATCTTCCAGCATTCATTAAAGTAACACAGCCGTGTGCTGCAGCTGTCCTTTAGAAATGGACTGGAGGTCAGCTGTGTGCTTCCTCTGGCTTAATATCCACACTGGCTGAAACATAATTGACGCTCCACCCTGCCTGCCAGACAGAAAGTAGTAAGCATATGAACACAGATGTGCAACGACACTTTACAGGTCTCCTTAAGGCACTGACCACATCCCTCCTGTTAGCCCAAATTAATGCCCAAGTCACACAGCAAGCCTAGACGTGCTGTTCCTGCCATGCTAAAGCGTTTAGTGGGCCTTTAAAACTGCCACCCGAACCAATTAGAGCTCCACTGGACCTGAAATGCTCATTACAGCGCGCACGGTATGGGCTGAAAGGGTGTGGGCAGTTAACACGAGCACAGACTGGGACAGGCCATCCTTAAAGGGGAACTCAACTGATTTTTCAAAATTTCTGGTTGAGATGTAAACAAAGTCATTGGTCTGAAATTAAAAGGTCTATTGTAGACACTCTTTACAGTGGTGGTGATGGGAACCAGGGGTCGCCATGACTACAACACAAATATAGACATTTTATTTACCATCCAAAACCACCAGTGAGCCTACACGAGTTTTTATCTGTAATGTTGATAATAGTAAACTACTGCTAAAGTGGGAAAAACAAGTTTTCTTTGGGGACTAGTTTACCTTGCAACACCCTGCAGGTATCCCTCCACCATGAATGGAGTTTTAAATTATATTATATATGCCAAAAAAATTATATATGCCAAAATTTTATCTCAAAACTTTTAGACAGTGTATTCATACCATTTCATGTAATAACTTTCTCTGAGGGAGCTTTTAGAGGTGGACGTCTGGTTCCTATCACCACCACTGTGAACAGTTCTGACTCCAAGTTTCTCTAGAATGAAGCATTTCACACCAAACCACTCTGAATGACTTTGATTACATCTTAACCACTTAATTATGTAGGAATTTTGACCATTTGGTTTAATTCCCCTTGCTCTATTTATTTGTTTGTCTTTATTTATGAATAGAAAATTGAGAGGCTTCAGTTACTGAAATGAATGGTCTGAAGCAGTGCTGAGAGCTGCTGTTCCTGCTGCTCAGTCCAGTTAAATGGAACGACAGTGGTGTTATGACTTTTGTACAGTGGTGGACAGTAATGAAGTAAATGTAATTCGTTGCTGTACTTAAGTAGTTTTTATGTATCTGTACTTTACTGAAGTTTCCATTTTGGGCGACTTTTTTCTTTCACTCCTCTACATTTCAAAGTCAAATATCTCACTTTTTACTCCACTACATTATGAGAAATCCGTCGCTCCTTTTGGTTTATGTGTGTATAAAAACGTAACCTGTCAAAATGTAAGAAGAGTGAAGCAAGAACACCAATCAGGGCACAGCGGCACTTTGTTTTGAGCTTGTTTTGACCTGTTGGTCATACCGACCCAGTGCATCACACGGTTCAACATCAGTGCAGCAGCGTAAAATTCTGGGAGAGTCTATTCAACATAAATGATGAACTAACCTAACTTTGTGTAAATAGACCACAATATAGAAACATGTACTCATATGCAGTTGTGACTGACGGGTCTTTATTCTGAATTTATACAAACACATTTCATTTTATAGTAAATTAGTTTTGGCTAGTTTATGTTTATGAACAGAGACCTACAGATGCAGTTTAGTAAAGGAAACTCATTTGTGAATCTGAGTTTAAAGTTTTTATTAAACTTAAACTTGCAAATAAATCTTAAACTGAAACTTTGCTTGTTTGTAAAAAGTGATTTCAGAGCCGCTCAGTTCTACCTGATGGAAACTGTTCGCCTTCAGTGTTTTGTGCTTATGATAATTTTAATAGTCATCAGCGTCACTAATTAATGACATTCTATTAAAAAACTGGTTTACCAACAGAGACACTGGAGTATTTTCACCTAGAATGAGTTAATGAAGCGAGTCTTGTTACAAAAATGATAAAAGGACATCAGAGCCATAATTAATCTTTTAGTACTTTTACTTTCGATACTTAAGTACATTTGAAGGCAAATACTTTAGTACTTTTACTCAAGTGGAGGTCTAAAGGGAGGAGCTTCTACTTTTACTGCAGTAATATTTTACCTTGGGTATCTCTACTTTAACTCAAGTACATGGTTTGTGTACTTCGTCCACCACTGACTTTGTATAAATGATTTCTCACTCGTAGCTCATTGAAACCAGAGGAGAATTTGTGTGGAAAGCGCAGATTCTAAACTTTCAACCCATCCCACATGTGTGACTGTAAACGGAAGAGGAGATATTTTATTATGATTTGAATTTGATGGAAAGTTATGTTGTGTAAAGTTTGGCTTTGTGGAAAGAAAAACACTGTTTACATTTTTGCCCTGATTTTGTCATTTTTGACGCTTAAAACAAACAGAAAAAAGTCAGACTCACAAAACGTGAATCACACAATCCTCCCTCTCTTTTTCATTTACACACTCTTTCTCTCCCTCTCTCTCTGTACAGTTTATTCTCCCGTCAGTTTACCGTCATTCGCAAACACAGGATGTGAGCGGGGTCCAAACAGGAAGTGAGCGAGGGCGTGTTGTCCCCTGTCTGAATCAGAGCGCAGTGGACTGAACGTGAGTAAAATCTGCCTGGCAAAAAAAGCCAGTTCGCTTGACTGGGACAGGATTTGGGAATTCGCTTCCAGTAGCGATTAATTCCGCTTTACGCCGAGTTTCTATCATTCAGGTTTTAAATCTCGGAAGTGTAAGCCAATACAAAACAAGAGAGCCACTGGCAACACACTCTACCTATCAGAGATCTGCCTCACTGGATTACTGATTCTGTTCACCTGCTCTGTGTGTCAAATGACCTAGTTAGGGTAGTTTATAAGCCCAGGCAGATTCATACTGGATTAAAATCGCTCCACAATTATTACTGTCAGACTGTAAAACTACACACACTGCAGATTCATACTGGATTAAAATCACTCCACAATTATTACAGTCAGACTGTAAAACTACACACACTGCAGATTCATACTGGATTAAAATCGCTCCACAGTTATTACTGTCAGACTGTAAAACTACACACTGCAGATTCATACTGGATTAAAATCGCTCCACAATTATTACTGTCAGACTGTAAAACTACACACACTGCAGATTCATACTGGATTAAAATCACTCCACAATTAACACTGTTAGAGTGTAAAATGACTGGTCAGTCCTACCTTCCTCGCAGTGCGTGCCGGTGTAACCGGGGCAACACTTCCACTCCAGCGCAGTAACGGTGCGGTACACTACCTTATAGGAGGGCCGGACCACCGTACGGTAACTGCAACACACACACACACACAAACACACACACACACACACACACACACACACACACACACACACACACACACATACAGTGTCACATTTATAATAATAATTATAATATTGTTATATTCCAGATATTCTGGATGCTGGTATGTAAAAAGAAAAAGGCATGGATTTCAAGCAGTAAATTGTAAACAGAAGCAAAATTGTTAGCCAAGATTGTTATAATGTTTTAGACAATATGAAACATCATACAGTTGTATGCAAAAGTTTGGGCACCCCTGGCCAAATGACATGTTTTGTTAATTTTCTAAGTGTAAATAAATGAACACATCCTGTACTGAGACACACTTCTGCACATTTTAATGCACAATTACTGCTTATTTACTTACTTTAACAAACTGGGGGAAAAAAAAACAACATAAAATATATACTTTGTAAAAGTTATGGCAAAAAGTTATGGTTATTATATGTTTTCCAGTATGTTAAATTCAGCAAATAAATAGAGATTGTGTAATATAATCTGCAGAAAAATGCCATATTTAATTTTGTTCCATGTGGAGGACATCTTATCTTATTTTCACTTAGAAAAACAACAGAGCACGTAATTTGACCAGGGGTGTTCAAACTTTTGCATATGACTGTATATGAATCATACTGAAGCAGTGGAAGTTAACAGTGAAACACTGGAGTCGAGTACAAGATTTCACTTGTTATGTTTCTCTGCTTAAACTCTCAGATTATTTGTGTAGTACTTGCACCTGCTCTGTGTGTGTGTGTGTGTGTGTGTGTGTGTGTGTGTGTGTGTGAGTGTGTGTGTGTGTGTGTGTGTGTGTGTGTATACCTGCCACCGGTGCAGCCCTGCGGCCACCTGCACATCTGATAGAGTCTCTGAAGAGTGGTTCCATTCTGCACCTGACACGTTACTGTCTTAGTGACAGACTGAGGACACCAGTTCCTGAGAGAGAGAGAGAGAGAGAGAGAGAGAGAGAGAGAGAGAGAGTATGTAATCTCCATAGAAAAGCACTGTCCAACAGAATGAGACGCTGCACATGAGCCTAAAGTCACTAATTGTGGGCTAGAGGGGTTTAAAGCCCCCCAGCGTTGGGCTGTGGAGCAGAGTTCTCTGGAGTGATGGAACGCTGGATGACCCTAATCTTAACCTCAGGAACCATTTTTATTCTCTGGTTCTACTACAAAGTCTGGAGTATTGTGTCGGTTCTGTAGTTTAGAACTGTTTTTCTCTGGTTCTACTACGTCAGGTGCATTTTGTCGGTTCTGTGGTTTAGAACTGTTTTTCTCTGGTTCTACTACGTCGGGTGCATTTTGTCGGTTCTGTAGGTCAGAACAGTTTTTCTCTGGTTCTACTACAAAGTCTGGAGTACTATGCCAGTTCTGTAGGTTAGAACAGTTTTTCTCTGGTTCTACTACAAAGTCTGGAGTACTTTGCCAGTTCTGTAGGTTAGAACAGTTTTTCTCTGGTTCTACTACAAAGTTGGGAGCATTTTGTCAGTTTTGTAGGACAGAACTGTTTTACTCTGGTTCTACTTCAAAGTCTGGAGTATGTTGTCGGTTCTGTAGGTTAGAACTGTTTTATTCTGGTTCTACTACAAAGTCGGGGAGCATTTTGTCAGTTCTGTAGGCTAGAATTGTTTTTCTCTGGTTCTACTACAAAGTCTGCAGTACTTTGCCGGTTCTGTAGGTTAGAACAGTTTTTCTCTGATTCTACTTCAAAGTCTGGAGTACTTTGCCGGTTCTGTAGGTTAGAACTCTTTTTCTCTTGATTTCCAACAATGTATGAAAACAAACTGGCTCCCACACTGAGGAATCAGCCTTTGAGGGCCTCGGGCTCTTTTGAAGCTCCTCTGCTGTGTTTACTCTGTTTCAGTGGGCCGTGAGAGCCCCTCTCCCTCCACTATCAATACGCCATCCACCATCACTGCACCCTCCCTCTTCTTCTCCCCCCGGGGTCAATGGGCAGGTCGAGCAGGGGGCGCTGTGCGCCTCTCCGAAAGGTTTAAAATTGCTTTTAGAAAGCGAAGCTTAAAGCGACGCGGAGTCTCTCTCGGCAGGAGACACACTGGCTCTTCTGTTCCTCTGTTATCACAAAGCTAAAAAAGCTGAGGTGCACTTTGGGTCGCTCGCAAAAACAGCTTAACCGGGGTAACCGTGGGGCCAGGTCAAAGGTCAAGACACGTCACAGGGGTCATATTTATCGGGCTTTTATTAGATTCTTGAGAATGTTGCACAAAACCAAACCACATCAAAGCTGTTGGTCTCTAAGAGCGATGCGATTCCTCTGTTTTGACAGTATTATGAAGAGCAATAGGCGTCTCATTACACTGTACACACACAATAAGCTGCAGGATCATCGTCCCTTTGAAACTGACTCAGCTATGCACACAGACCGCCTCCACTGAGGCAGGACTTCATTCACACGCATGTTCGTATTCTTACCTTCCTATCAGCATTTATATGGTAATATTTAGACATTAAAGGGCCCATATTTTATTTTTCGCCTCTGAGACTCACTTTTCAATTCACTTTATGTGCCAAAACAACAAAAATGACCATTTTATTGTCCTTTTTCCAATCTTACAATTAAACATACTGTTTCTGCTTCTGTGCCTTAAAGACTGTGAGTTCTGTTTTGACTGAAACACTCCTCATAACTTCAGTGTTAATGGGCGGGGCTAAACTGCTGTAAACGGAATACGCAGGTAAATCTGCTGGTTTTCATGACACCACAAAAACAACACATTCAAATTTGGCTGTTTTTACTTAGTTTCTCCCTTTTGTCATCATATAGGCCCTTTAACTCTCCACGAATTTGAGTTATTAATTAATTAGTTATAATATAATACAAACGTCTGGTGGAACTTAATTCCACCTTTTATTAGACAGTCAAACTCAGTGCTCACTTTTAAGAAGCATCTAAAAACACATCTCTTTGACTCAGCGTTTAATTAAAACTCTACGTCTCGTGGTTTTTATCTCTGAATTTGGTATGTTTCATTATGACCACCTCCTTGTTTCTACGCTCATTGTCCATTTTATCAGCTCCACTTACTCTATAGGTGCACTTTGTAGTTCTACAGTTACAGACTGTAGTCCATCTGTTTCTCTGATACTTTGTTAGCCCCCTTTTACCCTGTTCTTCAGTGGTCAGGACCCCCATGGACCCTCACTGTCTCACTCTCCACTCACTGTCCACTCTATTAGACACTGCTACCTTGTCGGTCCACCTTGTAGATGTAAAGTCAGAGACGATAGCTCATCTGCTGCTGCACAGTTTTTGTTGGTCATCCTCTAGTCCTTCATCAGTGGTCACAGGACGCTGTTGGCTGGATATTTTTGGTTGGTGGACTATTCTCAGTCCAGCAGTGTCACTGAGGTGTTTAAAACCTCCAGCAGCACTGCTGTGTCTAATCCACTCGCACCAGCACAACACACACTAACACACCACCACCACGTCAGTGTTACTGCAGTGCTGAGAATGACCCACCACCCAAATAGTACCTGCTCTGTGAGGGTCCATGGGGGTCCTGACTGCTGAAGAACAGGGTAAAAGGGGGCTAACAAAGTATCAGAGAAACAGATGGACTACAGTCTGTAACTGTAGAACTACAAAGTGCACCTATATAGTAAGTGGAGCTGATAAAATGGACAATGAGTGTAGAAACAAGGAGGTGGTCATAATGTTATGCCTGATCGGTGTATATGACTATTGTAAGAATATTATAAGATTTTTCCATCTGTTTTTGTATTTTCTTTACTTGTTTTAAGTGCCTTTATCTAGTGAAAGTGTCTTACTTCTTTCAAGAAATAATGAAGATAATTTCGCTCACGTTAAGAAACGATGCTTAAAACAAGTAAAATGATCTGCCAGTGGAACAAGACACTTTCATACGATGAAACTGCTTAAAAACAAGTACAAATGTCTAGAAATAAGTAAAAAAATCTCACAATATTCTTACGACAGTCTCATAAAGAGAAACAGTAGATCTACTGACTACATTCAAGATGTTTACACTCGCTTATGTCTCATTTGTTGCAGTGCAATCCTGACTCAGCAGATTTATTTCACATGAAACCACTTTAAAAGACTTTGTTTCTGTCTGCGTTTGTTTATATGTGCAGAATTTCTGGAGAATTGATTGGAATCGCTTTGACGTAATGAACATGGCTGCTTCAGAGGATGACAAAGCTAGTGGTTCTAATCACTGGTAGGAAAAAACACTAACAAGGTAAACAGTTTTGAAAGAAAGAAAGAATAACAGACCCAGAGACCGTGCCATGGTAATCATTAACCCTCTGCGCCCTGTTTGCAGCTCACCACTTGAAGCCACCGGCCATCCGGCCCAGATGAACACCAGGCTGCTCTGGGCGAAAGAAGAACCAAAACAAACGCGGCCCGGTTTAGATTCTGATGCAAAGGCTTGAGGGAGCTTTGGAGAAGAAAAGGAGCGAAGGTTGATAGGAAACATCCAATCAGATTTCTTTCTCAGAAAGAAAGGAAGAAAAGAACAGAGGAAGAAACAAAAGCCTCATTGATAACCGCAGCCCAAATACACTTCCACCCCAGCCCGCACTCCTCCTACACCGCCAGTGTAAAACAAAGAGACATGAAGCTCTACTTCCAGAACGCTAATGGAGGAGAACCATATGGAGACGATTATATTAAACATATGTCGGAGGGTTATTATCAACAGTACGACGTACAAACACTCCTGACAAGCTTCATATGGTTACAGAACAGTGCGCAGGGCACGACATGGAAAACAATTATCGCTGATCTCCTTCTGGGAGTCTGTGTGCGTCTGTGGATGCAGAGGCTGATTGTATGCAGGTGTGCGACGGCCCTCATGCAGTCCAGCGGATAAGAATAGTGGCCTTTAGGTCGGGACTTTCCACGTTTAGGTCCCTCTATGTATGCCTGTGTGTACCTTAAGTGCTGCCTGTTAGCTTATTTGTAGCTTCTACGTAGATTTACGCTTCGGTTGACCTGTCCATGCCCACTGCAGAACTCAGCTTATATCACAATACCTACATTTAGAGTCGGTTATTCATTCAGCCTAATGAGAAACTGTAGAACAGACTCAGTTTATATCACAATACCTACATTTAGAGTCACTTATTCATTCAACCTAATGAGAAACTGTAGAACAGACTCAGTTTATATCACAATGCCTACATTTAGAGTCGGTTATCCATTTCTAACAATATTTATTTTGTATGTGTGTAAAACGTCATACTGTCAGGATAGATCATTTTTGTAATTTAATAACATAATGATTTACTTACTTTTAAAAGTTAAAATTATAATTTGTAATAACAACTAATTGTAGATAATGAATAATTGATGGTAGACTCTGGATAATTCATAACAATAATTGAATAATTCATATTAGTTACTGAAAAATTCAAGTGGGATACAGAATAATCCATAGTAGACGCTGAATAATTTATAGTAGATTCTAAATTATTCATAATAGATTCTGAATTATTCATAGCAGAAACAGAATAATTCATAGTAGATATCGAGTAAGCTGTAGTAGTTGATTACTGATTACTAATTGATTAATACATCTGTTTAAGGGGTCAATTATGGTACATGAATCTGCATTTGTGAACGTGCATATTATCTAAAGGACGTTTCTGGGGATACAGGTCTCCCGGGTAACCATCTCCATGCAGGCATGGTAACAGGTCCCACATGTGTGTGTTATGGAGTAAGAGAGTGTCCTGCTCCCCCGGCCTCAAACATTCCGGCAATTTCCCGAACCTCGGGCTTTAAACAGAGCAGAGCCGCGGCCACAGGCCACCACAGAGCGGCACAGACCACAGCTACACACCGGGGAAGGCTATTCCTGTTTCACACTTATTATGAAAACAAGGACACCAAGCCACATCACATTTGTTTTCACACTAGAATGCAGGTCATACATATGTCTCATA